CTACATTTATGTACCAATTAGCATTCAGGCGCCGCTCAGATGGTATAGTGATAGGGGAAGCCTACTGCGATACCAAAGGGCCCGAGTTCAAACCCCAGAGAAGATATGGATGTTTGTAAATGTATACTGCCTGTGTGGCATGCGGAAATTCTAAATATGCGGCTAGCCAAAATTTCTCTGGAAAGGCTGCTGGTGCTCTCCTTCACAATTGGGCTCTGAAATGAGCGGAGTCGTATTAGCACCTGTATGATGACCAAAGGCTCTTGCCAACGACAGGCACAATCTTGCTCTCCTTTGCCATGATGAATTTCGTGGGCTTGTTCTAATGTCACAGGCAAGTGTGATAAGTCACAACAACAACAACAACATTAGAATTCAGAATGAATACCTAGAAAATAAAATCCTCAATAATATGGACTCACCAGCGGCCGAGTGGTAAAGTTCGGTCCGAGGTTCGAATCTCGCGAACGGGCTGGCTGCATGGGAGTTTTCGTAGATTTCCCCATGTGTAACGTGTATACGAGTCAGTTTTCTTTAGAAAGTCCTCCACGAAGGCATCCCTCCCCTTAGGCAGATAGCCCTAGTGTGCTTTGCCGTAATCTCAATAAACCAAACCAAACCTCAATAATATGAACTTATATTGCGACATTTCAACGAATAGAGCTAAGGGAACCCTTGACACAGTATAAGCAAGATTTGGTTTTATTTCACTTTATGTATTAAATTAGATAAACCTATATGTGCATTTATAACTTTTATTATAAAATTCATAGTTTTCCTTTCTACAGACATAAAATCTGAATGTTATGAAATTCTTCACTCTCTTTCGATCTGCATGTGTCAATTTGTTTTTATTCAAAAGGCAATCCTCGGTAGAAGAAAACGGCATGTGTAATGTCTGATTTCCCTTTATAACTCTTTTAAAAGGCTGGATCATTTGCTGAAAACCGATTCCATAATTTCCGTTACTTTGCTATTATATAATATTTATGCAACAGAAAATTTTACGGTCTTAGTTTTCTAGAAACGTATTCGTTTCTTTTGATTCTCAAAACGTAAATATAGATATTTGGATCAACAGAATATAAATTTGGCATTCACGTACTTGCAAATGTTTGAACTTCGTTGCTTAGTGAAATGCTTTTATACGTCATTTTAATATTTCTCGATAGTGCTTGCGATCCAAAACTCTGCCAATAACAGCAGATCATCAGTAAACGCTTTCTGGTATTCAAATGTAACAACACTATAACGAATTGTTGTTAATCTAGCTGTTTTTGTGAGGCGAGAGAAGAGTTAAAGGGGACCATAGTATAATGAATAAGTTATCAACCTTCCAATACTAACAGAAATCCTTCTTATTACATAGTATTCTAAAAGAACTGTTATGACATTTTATAATAATATTCACAAATATTTTAATATTAATGAATTCGGTACATGTATAAATGCAATGTGCATGCACACCTAAAGGTGCATAAAATAAAGGGCGGGATTGCGGTGTTTCTTATAAATTACTTTCATGGCGAATACAAATCGTCTTAAAATGTTTAAAGAGTACCAATAAAATCGAAAGGGTCTTTTCTTAGTGTGAAATGACTGAGATATCTGGTAAAAATTAGAATTCATTTTTTCAAAACTCTATCTGAAAATGGGTGAAAGTTACTATATTTTACATTTCAAAAGCTTACAGCCTAATCTTTCCTTTGCAGTAGCAATTATTTTATAATAAGCTTCTAGCGTATTTATTGTCCACAAGGCTTGGCAAATTGCCACTCATGAGTACCATAAGATCTTTAGTTTATTTCTAAACTTAGAAATGCACGTTTTTGAAGAGCAAAATGTACACTTTTCAATAATTTACATATTTATTTTATTGTTAATAATATATAGAATTTTACATTTATTATCACAGTTATATCAGTATTCAGCCTGTAAAAACAGCCTGTATTTTCACCAGCTCCAATCAGAATGCAAATTAGTTAATGTGATTAAGGGCATAGTATTAGAGTTCAGATAGAGAGCTTTTAGCAACTATCATTGGAAGGTTACTCTGAGACAAACTTCTGATACTAATTTGAACTGCTCAATTGACTTTAGCTTTGCTAGTCATTATTGCTTTGTAGAATACTGATACCTAACCAAATACTTATTTACCTGCGTATTACTTTACATTTGTTATTTTAATGTGATTTGAACTTTTGTTCTGAATTTTACGCAAGCTACAAGTTTTCTTTTATTGTTATATACAACCGTCAAGCTGATGAGTTAATTGGAAAATTTATTTTAATCCTTCATTTGAGTTTGTGGTTATTCGACTGAAAAGTTACAATGGGAAGATAAGTCACTTGGATGTATTTACAATTCTAGAAGTTGACATTTACAGCACAGTGGAACCGTGTAAATATATCTATATTGATTTAATTTACAGTATATCTAACTGACTTGATTTTACAAATATTCGCATCTGTATTATAATTAAAAAACTGTTTCGAATTTCATATATTATTTAATGTCAGGATGAAATAACAGATTTCCTCTCGCTGATTACATTCGTTTGGTATTTTGACGTAGAACAACAATAATGTTAAAGAAATAACTAATTCATATCAAGAGAACATGATTCAGATCACTTCTGGAGTCATCTACCGAAATTCCTGCCTTAAAGAATGGAATATAATTTGCCACAATTTTTGCAAGATAAATCCAAAACAAAGAGCAAAAACATTCGCAACGTGTCTCTGAAAGGAGTTTGGCTTTTGCCTAATTTTATTATATAAATCTTAGTGTTTTTAATTCATTTAGTATTTCTTTTTGCAATTCTTCACAGGGAACTGAGAGCTACAAAACTTTGTCAATTCTGTCGCAGCTAAAACAAAATTTATGACTTTAAATTAAATATCTGATTAATTTAAAGTCATAAATTTTGCTTTAAATTAAATATCTGATTATTTGGAAATTAGCTTGGTGTCATAGGCAAAATGTGAATACTTCTGTATCAAAACAAACATTAAGAAATTATTTTATTAAAGTGAAATTTCAATTTGAAACATACCTCGAGGATTCTTGTGATGGAAGTGAGTTAAATTGGCCTGATGTTAAAGGACTTAATGCATTAAATGAATTAAAATGATTAAAATCAGTTACAACCAGTAGGACATACTTAGCTTTCTTGGTTACAATCCATCTTAAACAGACATATAAGATGATAGAAATTCTTGAAACTATATTCTAATACATGTTTTTATGCAAACTGTAACGGTGAATTATTTTGAACCAAGCACTAATCAAACTAAGCACCTCTGATGTTGAGAAATGAAATGTATATGAAATGAAAATGTTGAGAAAATAAGAATTTTTGGAAGAAGAAACCACACAGAAAATTTATTCCCTCGCCGAGACTCGAACTTCCAATTGTTAGATGCACACCAATAGTTTTCGTCATTAGTGGTCAGCGGGAGGATGCGATAATTCCTTACATTCTTCCCTATTTAAAAAAAGACTAAAGAAAGGCATGAGATCCTTTCGATAAAATCCAAGTATTGACTAACTATCGTCTACCAAATTTCTATTCCGGGTACCACTTTTGAGGATATTAACAGACTTGGTGAGATAAATCTGAAAAACCAGCCAATATACACGTCAAAATTCAAACCACAGATCTTAATGTTGTTATTTGGCCATACTCACCACTTACACCAGATAGCATGAACGGGAAAATGAGATAATTCCTCATAAGGTTTCATTGAAATATTAGCGAAATAAATATATTAATGAACTGAGTCGCCATGGAAAAAATACTGTTTGGCTTTAATCTGCCTTAACTGTTTCTATAAATGTTGTACGTTACCTGTCCATTTTGTAAACTAAATTTTTCACACAGCCTCCAAAAACGTCTCATTTATAATAGAGGAGATTACTTCTTAACAGTTCAAATATACTATCAGTAAGTAATATATATATTATTTTTATTTACTAACTTTTGTTTACTGACATTTTATTTACGGAAGAGGTTGTTCACTCATTGTCTATTGCCACAACGTTTCACTGTGAAATGCAGTCTAATCAAAGTTGCTTAATTTTGCCTTTTTTACTTACGATTTGTCAGTCTCGTGTAATAATTTGTGGTGCACGAGGATTTCTTTTTCTTTAAATAAAAATAATATCAATGTTGCTTCATATTAATATAAAAGGACCGTATTTTTGTCAATCGAAAGAAACGGAAAAAGATTTAACTGGAACTATACTTATATATATATATATATATGCGCCATTAATAATCCAGGTACAATAAATTGCCGAAAACTTTTTTTATAGTTGTTGGCATCAATTGGCCTCTTATCAGTCGTATTAAGTCTAGATTAACATCTTCTTACCTGGAACAAATAATTTTACATTTAACAGATTACAGCAAATTTCCGTATTTTCACAAAATGTTTAACATTCCGTTATAGTAATGTAACAAATTCCTAAGAAAATATGCAGCAAAGTTTCCATAATCATTAGCAACATCGACAAACAATGTAATTAGAACAGCGCTTATTAGAGCTTTAATGAATATAATCAGAAGCTACATGAAATATAAAAAGTAAAATATTGTTGCTCTCTGTAATTTCTTAACATTTTAAAATCTTTATTCGTATTCAAGTACAATACGAATTGTAATCTTGATTCTTAGTGAGAAATATAACCCATTAAGAAGGAAATAAGAAACTTAATAACAATATTTTGTATAAAATACATCGCATAATAATAATTTTCATTGAGCAACTATAATCATGATACATGCAGAAAGTTAAACAATGAAACTTATTGTTCTTATGAAACTTACAATGATACGAGATTAGTACGGTGCATCTCATTTCCTACTACATCGCTATTCATAAATATAGCCTTCGAGTTCATATTAACGTATAAAAATCAAATGGAATAGTTTTCCATGGATTTTATGATTTAATTCAAAACATATAAAACATAATGTAAAGGAAATGTGTACTTACTATTCGTGTACCGGACGGTGAGACAATGAGACGGAGAAGGAGGACATGGGGGTGCAGGAGCCGCCTCAGTAGGACTGGATGGTTCACGATACGCCCAGCGTGTTACGTGGTCTACGGGATACTTGACTTTCTTTACAAGAAACGATCTTGGCATGTTTGTTTTCGCCTGAATTCTTTTGCTTGCAACTGATTGTCCTTTTACTGACCACGAAAATGTGCTAAAATCTACTGCCACTTAAGAATTTCACTGTTAATATGCTGCATATTTCAAAACAACATTTGATGAAAATTAAGTTCACTCATCTTTATAGTTCTTCCATAAAGTTTATGTATATTTAATTAACATATTTGCTCCAAATTACACCTGTAGAAAGTTCATGCGATGGATTCTCCTTTTATTTTATTTTAATACGAAACTGAATGTTGTTAAACGCTATGTTTACCAAAAAAGAATATTTCTATATGATACTGTTTATTCTAGATGAATATGTAATTTTTTATGTCTTCTTTTTTTCGGTAGGTACTTTTCTACCAAAATATACATGGTAGGTTGTTGTAAAACTTAAGCAGCACATTTAAATTTACCATACAAACGTAAATTCTAAAATATTTAACAGTATGTATCACTAGCTAAGCTGTCATTTTATAGAAAATAAAAGAATATTTTATTGCATGACAAGTGGTATCGAATTCTCCTATGAAACAACATGTAGAATGAAATACATTGAAAAACTAGGACAGTTAGTTTCTGCAGCCAATACCTCTGTAAGAAGCAATGAATAATTGAAATCACAGTTGAATACTTTTTCAGGAAAGGAAACCAAATAACTACCTTGAGAAATATTCTAAATATTCAGAAAATTATTTAATTTCAGGTGACGTATTTTAAAAGAGTCTGAGTTTCTGAAGAAAGTCTGTCATCAAGTCAACAGTTAATACAAAAAAGTTCGAGTAAAGTCCTCATGTATTTGCGGTTTCGTATTATTCATTCATCAAAAATAATCTTTACATGATGAAGTAATTCACTTCGCAAGTAATCATCTCCCTTTTCTCATGATATCATGAATGAAAAAATAGGCTATTTCGAATGACAACACGTCCACGTCTAACTGGGATATCTATTGTGTGATTCTGAGTCTCAAAGATGACCATTAAAACAAGCATTAACAATCCCCAGGTCCTTGTACCTGTGGGAAGACAGAGTGCAACAGCATGGACGGGAGCCTAGAGCTTCACTGCTGAGCTCGGCAGCGTGGCAGAAAAGCTACATTCTGTCAACCTAGTTTCTACCACGCGGCCTTACACTAGGCTGCCCTCTGTCGGTAAGATGAGGAATGAGGGGAGAGGGGGAATTTTTTGTTATTGTTTCCTTTATGGAAGAGCCGGAGACTTTTGATTGGTTGGACGCCAGGAGGGCATTCCTGCTGTGTGGGAGGTGCCAAGGAAAACAACTGGTTGCGGAGCTGGACACAAAGTCTTGCGTCCCTCAAGTGACATATGATGCACGCAGCAAGTTCCGATCACGAACATCTTCCGGGTGCTCAAACATCTCATAAATTAACAGAAAAGTGTACAATTGCATATAATTTATTTGATTCAGAGTCGGAAAGATTGTTTCAAAATTTACATAAGTTTAAAGAGGAAAGAAAATATTTTAATTTCTGCACCTTAAGGTATAGATTTAAAGTATTAAGTAAACATTATTTTAAAGTGTTATAAATAATTTTAACTATTTAAAGTGACAATCATCCAATTTGCTTTTTTTTTCAGGATGTCTTAACAAATAATCTCATAATAAATATAAATAATTTGAAAAAATTTGAAAGGTTTCAGACTTTAAATTACGTCCAAAGGGGCTCTTTTTTAACGCATTGTGTGTTACCTTTATTTATTAAATATCATGTTCTTTGCACTTAAAAACATACAATTCAGTTCAACAGCAATATCTAAAGATATGGTTCTAAAGATATGGTTAAATAACCATATCTTTAGAATGTCCGATACAGAGTTCTGCGCGCTGGTGATAAAAAGGTCTTTTTTCCCCCCGTAGAGTGTTGCCATTGCTCACGTTTAAATCATTGAGTTTGTTTCTCAAAAATTCGTTAAAGTTTTAAAAATATTAAATCGATAATAAAACAAATTCCAAATTTCAAATTTGGGATTTCAAATGCCCATATTCGCAGTAGGATTACGTCATTCAAAATTGGATGACTCTAGATACCGTTGTTTTATCACAATGCGAGAAATATACATACATTTATGCATATTTTTCATTATTGAATTTCTTCAAATATAATGCAGGACTCTAACATTTGGTGGCAACAGTTTGAAACGTGATTCGCTGTTTATAGTGATTCAACGCAAAATCACAAAACGAAAACAATAGTCTTCCAGGGACACAAAGCCCCTTTGGATTAATGATAAATAGTCATCCCTTTGTTCGGTATGGTGGTTAGCAATACCGGCTACCTGCAACAAACTGGTCCGAAATGTCGCAAACACGTCTAGTCACTTTTCTGACGTCTTTGGCTGTAGGCGCAAATCTTCTCCGATTGCATTTGGGCAATCATGGAGAAAACAATCGTTAAGTGACGTTTTCATTCGTTACTGTATTCTTCATAAAATGTCACAACTACTGGTTGAGATGATAGCAAAAGTTATTCTAATATTTTTTCCTTAATTTTTATTATTTAAACTAAATCTCAAGATTAATTGATTTAAAACAAAAATATAAAATTCTATGTAAGTTATGTGATATCTGTATCAGAAAATATAACTTGTTTTTATTCATAATTTTATGTTTTTCAAAAAGGTAAGAGTCATACAGGTGAATTTTCTTCAGTTTTCAGTATTATTTCTTAAAATACAGATTTTAATTCCTGTGTATTAAATATCGTGTGCAGAATAATTAGAGTTTTAAACTTATTTCGTCTTAAATATGCTGCATCAACTGGCTTGCCAACTAATTCATTCTGTTAAATGTATACTGTCATTCATCTGTAATGCATCGTTCATTTTAGCTGCGTTGCTGTAAATTCAATAAAACACATTTTATGAACTTCTTTAAAAAATTCTATTCTCATTTATATTAAAAAGTGAAGAATCGAAAAAAACAGAAACATTTATTCGGTCACGTGAATTTAAATTTAAAGAAATAACATTTATATTATGCATATTATTTTTTTACTGAGGTAAATAAAGTCCGCTATTATGATTCTAAAAGTATCAGCTGTGTATACTCTTGTTATATCTATTGTGGGTGCCAACCGACTTAGCGATGCCAATTACTATAAAAATAAGGTGTTGCGTTTGTTCTGTGTGGTGTATTATCACCACCAGAACAGCTAATCATCAAAACAAATAGACACACAATTACGTTTAAGATTATTCTAACGCAACACTTGGGAGTGTTTAAAATTAAAATATAGGAACACAGATCTATCAGGCAATCTGGACTTGATTTTAAAACTCAAAACTTCCTTTCAAAACGGTTAATGATAACAGAATTTCGAACGCAAACTCATCAAACAAGATCTAACCTCAGTCTAAAGTATTCCAAGCAAGATCAGTATTAGTATCTCCAACAGCCTGTTTTTTTTTCAGTGGGCAGGGCAATGGAAAGAAGTCCAAACTCTCATATTCTTGTTTTAAATCTCTAATGTCTACAGTAAAAATGCTTGCTACTCGTAGCCACATAAATTATGGAATGAGCGAAGCTCCTGGCGAAAAGAGGCAGAAGGGGAAGACGTAAATTAAATAATATTTCGCTAATAAAAATTACACGTAAATTCCACACTGTAACTAGCGATACACTCTTTTAGATTTAAGTAATTATTTCAGTGCCTTCTGAAGTATATTAGCAACAGAAAAAAATGATAATTAATAGGGATGGTAAATTTTCTGTTAATAAATCGTACAGACTTTTTTGCACAGAACGCTTTTTTTACTTACAGAAAATAGCCTATTCTCAATGTACTATTTAACATAAATATTAAATGGGTATTTTAGACAACATTTTCAAAGATTTAAGCATTCAATAAATTCAAAGCTGAACATTAATGGTATAATGTCCAGTTAAGAAATATAGCGAAACAATTTCCTTATTCTTCCGGGTGGTTGCAGGAGAGGTTTCGTGATTTTCTTCAAAAGTGGAGATCCTTACCAAGACGTACTTGATTTTACATACGAGAAACAGTCATATCTACGAAAGATCTCATCTATTAACTGCGCAGACTGGACAGCCTAAAATGCAAATATACTCATGCATGCATGCGAAGGTTTATTTCGAAAATCTGTAAATTTTCTACTGCTTCATCAATTGCCCTAGAAATGTCAATGGATGAAGTCTTGTGAATTTTCTCTTATTTGTGTCAATTTTGTTCTCACCTGTATGTCGAATTTTATACTTTTCCTTGCACACTGTGCGCTACATATTCGACCTGTATATAACTGTTATTTATTACATATTATTTACTAACTGTATATAATGTATACTTATGACGACTTGAATTCACATTTAAATATGCTCTAGGGTCAAATGATACCAGAGATCGGCAATCTACGGCCCGCGGGCGAACTCCGGTCCACCGGAAGGTTTTATCCGGCTTGCGGATAGAATTTTAATTTGCCGGTCGGAGGCAAATTAAAAGAAATATATATTTACATATTATATATCCATCTTCTTTTCTACTTTGTTTAAATATTAATTTTTTCTTCCTTTTTTTCAAAGGACTGATGACCTTTTTACTTTCTCTATTTTTGTTCTACAAAACATAAATTGTCGGAAAGAGCAAGCATAGACAGCTTTCAATCGGTAAAGGGTTAAAAGCGGAAGTTAGTTGTTTGTTATAGCTGTAGATTGGCGCCAACAAAAGTTATCTCTTTTTCGGGGAGCAGACATATTGGAATCCAATATAGGTGAATTAGACCTCTTAGAAAAAACTGAATCTTAACTTACTGATTTTAACTTAAAACTTAATAAAACTTAATCTAATTCAGAAGTCAAACAACAAAAATCAGCGTTATATTTTCAAAATTTTCACAGGACTAGTTTCGATGGTTTTACCGAACCACCATCCTCAGCTGCAAAACCGCAAATTGTAGGGTTTGCATCCATTTGCGGTTTTGCAGCTGAGGATGGTGGTTCGGTAAAACCCATCGAAACTAGTCCTGTGAAAATTTTGAAAATATAACGCTGATTTTTGTAGTTTGACTTCTGAATTAGTAAAACTTAATCTGTTTGCTGGAAATCTAGCTAAGAACGACTTGTCTCATTTCCCGAGGTTAATTCAATACACTCAGTAAATGAAGAGAAGCTTAAAAATTATGAAAATGGCTTGAGAAAACTGCATTTTGAGTTCGAACGAAGATTTCAAGACTTCACTGCCATTCAAACAGAATTGGATATTTTTACCTTTCAACGTAAATTGTGAAGCAATGAGGTCAGATTTGCAGCTTGAGTTAATTGAGTTACAATCTAACAATCATCTCAAGCATTTGTTTCTAAATATGCCAAGGTTAGAGTTTTACAAATCATTATCGAAAGTAAGTTTCCGAAATTTAATATCTCAAGCCCAGAAAATCAGTGCTATGTTTGCTTTATCTTATATACGTGAACAAGTATTTTTATATATATGAATATGTTATATATGTGAACCTTAGAAAGAATTATTTCAGAAGTACACTGACAGATGAGCATTTATCCTCGTTCCTTAGAATCAGTGTACATCTCACTTCGAAACTCAATATAAGAATTTTTAAAAACGAAATCGCAATTTTATTCATCTCATTAACATATTTAAATTGTAATACTTGTAAATTGTTTTTAAAACTTTAGAAAATTTATTTTGACCTGCCAAACCTTTTTTTTTTTTTTTTTTATTTTTGCCCCGCGATCGAAAAAATTTGCCCATCTTTGATCTATACTATATGCTCATTTTCCTGAACCGGTAATTGTCTCCTGCATTATGTCACAAGTAGTTTGAGAACTAACCAGTATTCTAATGTATATTGATAAATTTTCACCGTAATTTAAATTTACTCTACTTTTGCAGTAATTTATTTCTGTTTCACTGGAAGTCGTCTTTGAAGATATGACACTTTAAATCTGGCTGTAGTATATTTTCCCATTGATTTCGAACGCTATACTGTTATGCACTTTAAGAGGCTCAGGTTTTCATTCTCTGCTGTAAAATTAATATACGTTTGCTTTGCTATGCATTTGTAAAGAGATTCTGATCCA